ACACTTAGTGACTCTTATTTAAGGAACAGAACAAACCAGAATTGACAGGTGACTTCAGGGACTCGGTCATGACAGGCACTGTGGCTTCCTACTCTCTTCTTTGATCACTCACTCAGAGAACTCAGCTGCTGTGTTGCAAAGGCCCTCAGGTAGCCACTGTGGAGAGGCCCATGTGGCAAGGAATGGAGACCTTCCTGAGCAGCCTGCAAAGAAATGAGGCTCCTGCCTGAAGCTATCTTGGAGGCAGATGTTCTCGGCCTAAGTCCAGCAGCCAGATGACTGCAGCACCATCAGCTAGCATCTGACAGTTGCCTTCAAAACACTTGGGAGAGATTGCCCAGAAGAGCACGCTACCAACCTTTGAAATCTATTGAGAGAGTTAAACTATTTTTTTTTTTTGAGACAGTCTCTTTTTATGGCCCTCGGTAGAGTGCTGTGACGTCACAGCTCACAGCAACCTCCAGCTCTTGGGCTTAGCTGATTCTCTTGCTTCAGCCTCCCGAGTAACGGAGACTATAGGCACCTGCCACAATGCCCCGGCTATTTTTTGTTGCAGTTTGGCTGGGGCATGTTTGAACCCACCACCCTCGGTATATGGGGCTGGCACCCTACTCACTGAGCCACAGGTGCTGCCCATATGTTTTTTGTTGTTGTTGCAGTTGCCACTGCTGTTTTAGCTGGCCAGGGTCGAACTCGCCACCCTCAGTATATGGGGCTGGTGGCCTACCCATTGAGGAGCCACAGGTGCCACCCAGAGTGAGTTAAACTTTTCAGCTACAAACTCTGAAGGTCTAAGGGGCAGAGATGGTATGTACATTTTTTCTGATGGTCATAAAATCCTACTCTGTCACCCGAGTGATCCTTGTATGGTTCCGTACCTCAAGTGGGTTTTGTTCTTTCCATCTAACCCCTTCTGAAATCTAACCATTTCCCACTACTGGATATGATCTTTATTTATTCAGACATAAGTACCCATTCTCTATCCACCCTGGCATGTCTATAGCTTAAGACTTTCTTTGTCTTAGCAATAGGCAGCAGGCCTCCTGAGTCAGCCAGATAGAGGCAAACATGATGGTATGATGCCCCTGATGAAGCCAGGCTGGTCTGAGAAGGTCATTGTGCAGAATAGAACTGCAAGGCCTCCTCTCATTTTCCTAGGCTGCCTACTGCCTCATCTCTCACCAGCCCCAAAAATGATGCAGCCTTGGACATTACTTGATCAGAGATTTCACCGCTTATACTTTATACCATACCTTATATTGGGTGCTAGGAGCTAAGTGAAGTATAGAAAAACCTATTCCCTGGCTCAGCGCCTGTAGCACAGTGGTTACGGCGCCAGCCACATACACCAAGGGTGGCAGGTTCGAACCCAGCCCAGGCCAGCTAAACAGCTGCAACAGAAAAATAGCTGGGTGTTGTGGCTGAGGCAAGAGAATTGCTTAAACCCAAAAGTTTGAGGTTGCTGTGAGCTGTGACACTACGACACTCTACCAAGGGCGACATAGTAAGATTCTGTCTTAAGAAGAAAAAAAATAGAAAAACCAACCCCCCAAACCTAAAACACAAACACCCTTTAACATGGATCTTTAACCAAGGAATTATTCCACCAACTTTTTTTAAAAATAGCTTTACTGTTATTATAAAATCGATATATACTTTGTTGAAAAGTCAACACACAAAAGTACAATGAGTCCATTATGAATCCTGTATCCCACCTGCTAGAGATAAGCAGTTATGACACTGACCTCTCACACTTCTCTCTCTCTCTTATTCTAAACACACACACTTAAAAATACAGTAGAACTGGCTCAGCGCCTGTGGCTCAAGCGGCTAAGGCGCTAGTCACATACACCTGAACTGGCAGGTTCGAATCCAGCCCAGGCCCGCCAAACAACAATGATGGCTGCAACCGAGGAAAAAAAAAAAAAAAAGAATAGCCAGGTGTTGTTCTGGGCACCTGTATTCCCAACTACTTGGGAGGCGGAGACAGGAGAATCATTTGAACCCAGGAGTCGGAGGTTGCTGTGAGCTCTGATGCCATAGCACTCTACCCAGGGTGACAGCTTGAGGCACTGTTTCAAAAAAAAAAATACCGTAGAAGTGAGCGGCAGCTCAATGAGTAGGGCACCAGCCCCATATAACTGAGGGTGGGAGTTCAAACCCAGCCCAGCCAAAATGCAACAGAAAAATAGCTAGGCATTGAGGCAGGTGCCTGTAGTCCTAGATACTAAGGAGGCTGAGGCAGGAGAATCGCCTAAGCCCGGGAGTTTGAAGTTGCTGTGAGCTGTGTGATGCCACGGCACTCTACTGAAGGCAATAAAGTAAGGCTCTGTCTCTACAAAAAACAAACAAACAAACAAACAAACAAAAAAACAGTAGAACCTTTGTTAGTTGACCACCCATGGTCAACATTCAGAGTGGTCGACATAAGGAACTTCTGTTGAGTTCATGTAGTGCATGTCTGGTCTGTGAAAATTAGATCAACTTAAGGAGGTGATCAACTATGAAGGTTTTACTGTATATTAACAAAATGGGACCATGTTGTATTTTTTGCTCTACAACTTTTACTAAATAGTTTCTGTGCGACCCTCAATATCATTATAGGTGTACCTGAATATTTTTAGTGGCTTTCCCTTGTATACATGGGCCTTAACTTAGGTAAGCAATTTCCTACTAATGGGACCTTAACATTTTTTTTTTTGCTGTTATAGTGCTATGAAACTCAGCCATCTATGTATATATATATATGTCCTTACCCACCTGTATCTTCCCTGTATCAATTAATATACACTTATTGCCACTTCAAGGTTGCGAATTTTATCCACAGAGAAATTCTGTTGTTTTTTTTAGACAGTCTCAAACTGTCAACCTGGGTAGAGTGCCGTGGCATCATAGCTTATAGCAACTTCCAACTCTTGGGCTCAAGCGATCTTCTTGTTTCAGTTTTTCTATTTTTGTAGAGATGGGGTCTTGCTTTTGCTCAAGCTAGTCTTGAACTCCTGAGTTCTAGAAATTCACCTACCTTGGCCTCCCAGAGTGCTAGGATTACAGGTGTGAGCCATTGTGCCCAACCAAGAAATTCTTTCAAAAATGACTACTTATTTTCACTCTTACCAATAAGTATGTCATACTGCACACAAACGACAAAGTGGAAACAGTATTTTTTCAAAATGGAACAGAAAAACTGCTTTTTTAAAAAAATTATTTATTTTTACCGTGTTTCCCTGAAATTAAGACACTGTCTTATATTTATTTTTTCTCAAGAAGACACACTAGGGCTTATTTTCAGGGGATGTCTTATTTTTATTAAGTATAATACAACAATCTACATTTATTCAAATACAGTTAAGTCATCTTCTTCTGGAACCTGACAGGGGGAGCTGACCTTGGTGGGGCTGGCGCTAGTGATGCGTGAACTCCTTGCCCCTAGCCATTCGCACGTGTGCAATAGGATGCCTGTGACCGTGGTTACCACAGGCACACCCGCCCAAGTGCGAACGGCTCAGAGAAAAGAGCTGTGGCAGATAAAAGGTATTCCAGTCTTCCTTACCGCTCCACGCCAAAATGCATGGCATGGCTATGCGGCGTATCCCATCACTAGGTCTTATTATTGGGGTAGGGCTTATATTTAACAAATGCATATAAATCCTGCTAGGGCTTATTTTGGGGGTAGGTCTTATTTTGGGAGAAACACGGTATTTATTATTTTTGAGACAGAGCCTCAAGCTGTTCCCCTGGGTAGAGTGCTGTGACATCAGAGCTCACAGCAACCTTCAACTCTTGGGCTTAAGTGATTCTCTTGCCTCAGCCTCCCAAGTAGCTGGGACTACAGGCACCTGCCACAACGCCTAGCTATTTTTTGGTTGCAGCCATCATTGTTGTTTGGCGGGCCTGGGTTGGATTTGAACCCGCCAGCCCAGGTGTATGTGACTGGCGCCTTAGCTGCTTGAGCCACAGGTGCTGAGCAAGAAAAACAGCTTTTTGAGGATGCAAGTTCTTCCCAAATTAAACTATAAGTTCATTGCAATGCAAATCACATTTTGTTTTTGAAACTGGGTAAAAAGAAAAACATATTTCTGCAGTTTACTACAATCTCTCTGACAGAGGCAAAGTTTACCTCTGTGAGATAAAGCACAATCAGAAAAACATGATTTAAACGTGAAGGAGACATATTACCCAGACCTGCCCAGAAAAAGACTGTTCCCGGTCTTCTAAAAGTGACTTGCTTCCATAAACGTTAATGTCATTTTTTATTTTTATAAAACTATCTTTTATTATTTATTTATTTGAGACAGTCTCACTCTGTTACCCTGGGGTTGAGAGCCATGTCATCATCATAGCTCACAGCAACCTCAAACTCTTGGGCTCAAGCGATCATCCTGCCTTAGCTTCCCAAGCACCTGTGACTACAGGCACCTGGCACAACACCTGGCTAGTTTCTGTATTTTTAGTAAAGATGGGGTCTTACTCTTGCTCAGGCTGTCTTGAACTCCTGAGTGCAAGCAATCCACTAGTCAGTCTCCCAGAGTGCTAGGATTACAGCATGAGCCACTGCACCTGGCTGATTCTTATAAAACTGTCTGTTAACTTAAAAGGTGCATATGATATTGGTTATAGTGAGGTGATAACTTTTTTCATTGCTGCACTGGTGTCATCCCCACGGGGAATCCACATCCATAATGTGCACCTTGGATACTACTTATACATTTGTTCAAATTCCCTCCTAGGCTGACTCTGATGTTTTTTACTAAGCCCCTGCCACACCATTTAGGGGCTATTCTGCTGAGCCGGAAGCTCCTAAAGACTGATGGGTGCCTGAGTGCTTACCTCTCTATCACACTTCTGGGCCATTCTTTCTCATGCAGACTAGCTGATGGCTGTGAAAACACCAGCTTCTCCTGCAGCCCCTGCTGCCTATCACTTTGACAAAGTTTTCTCTCTCGGCAGGCTCCCAGATGAATACAAAGTTCTGAGTTACAACTGGAATCCTCAACTCACATCTACTTAGAAGGTTTCTCACCTACGTGGACTCTCTGGTGGTTTCGCAGACCTGAGCTGTAACTGAAGACTTTCCCACACTCTCCACACTTATAGGGCTTCTCTCCAGTATGGACCCTCTGATGGACGTGAAGGCAGGAGCTGCGAGCAAAGCCCTTCCCACACTCCTCACATCTACAGGGTTTCTCACCAGTGTGGACCCTCTGATGACCTTGGAGATGTGAGCTCTGACTGTAGCCCTTCCCGCATATGTCACATCTATATGGTTTCTCACCAGTGTGTACTCTCTTGTGACTGAGGAGACCTGAGCCATATCTGAAGCCCTTTCCACATTCATAACACATGTAGGGTTTCTCTCCCGTGTGTAACCGCTGGTGAGTGCGAAGATTGGAGCCATAACTGAATCCCTTGCCACACTGGTCACACGTATAGGGCTTCTTTCCCGTGTGGACTCGCTGATGTTTGTGAAGGCTTGAGGTGCACCGAAAACCCTTTCCACACTCCTGGCATTTATAAGGTTTCTCACCTGTGTGGACTCGCTGGTGAATGAGAAGCCCTGAGCTGTAACTGAAGCCTTTGCCACACTCAGCACATTTATAGGGTTTCTCGCCTGTGTGGACCCTCTGGTGGATAAGGAGGTCAGAGCTGTAAATGAACCCCTTCCCACACCCATCACAGACGTAGGGTCTCTCTCCTGTGTGGACCCTCTGATGACTGTGAAGGTCTGAACTCCGCCGGAAGCCCTTCCCACATTCACCACATTTATATGGTTTCTCTCCCGTGTGGACCCTCTGATGGATGTGGAGGTCTGAGCTCCGGCCGAAGCCCTTCCCACATTCACATTTGTAGGGTTTCTCTCCTGTGTGCAGCCTCTGATGCATGAGAAGCCCTGAGCTGTAACTGAAACTCTTACCACACACATCACATTCATAGAGGTGCTGCCCAATGTGAACCCTCAGGTGAGCTTGAAGGTACGAGTTGTGACTAAAACCTTTACCACACTTGTCACATTGGTAGGGCCTCTCACCTGTGTGTGTTTTCTGGTGATTGCTGAGGTGGGAGTTACAGCTGAATCCCCTTCCACACTTGCCACAGCTATAAGGCTTTGCCCCAGGATGGACGTGCTGATGCTTGTGCAGTGCTGACTTGGCACAGAATCCTTTGCCACACTCACTGCACGTGTAGGGCTTTTCCCCCGTGTGCAGCCTCTGATGGACTTGAAGCACCGAACTGTAACTGAAGCCCTTCCCACACTCGCTGCATTTATAAGGTTTCTCTCCAGTGTGAACCCTCTGATGGACAAGCAGGTTTGAGCTCCGGCCAAAGGCCTTCCCACATTCCTCACATTTATAGGGTTTCTTTCCTGTGTGCACCCCTTGATGAATAAGCAGAACTGATTTATACCTAAACCCTTTCCCACAGACTTCGCATCTGTAGGGTGTCTCTCCCACAGGGATTCTGGGATGGCTGTGAATGTGTGTGTTCAGCCCGAAGCCCGGACCATGGTCCAGACTTTTACAGGATTTCTCTTCTGTGGGTATTCTTTTATGGTAGTCAAGACAGTCACTCTGCCTCAAGCCCTTACCAAACTCATGAAATTTACAGGGTTTCTCTTTGAAGGGCATTCTTGGATGGGTGGGATGGTTTGAGTCATCCCTGAAGCCACATTCATTGCTTTTAAAACCATTCCCTCCATGGTTAGAGTAATGAAGTGCAGACTTCTGGAAGCAGTTTTGTCTATATTTATCACAAGTACATGGCTTATCTTTTGCAGAGAATCTGTGGGTATCATGACAATGTGATAACCCATAGTGGAAGCTGTAATCTTCCCAATCATGTTTATATATTGGGTCTTCCATGTAGAGTTTTGTACATCCTTCTTGAACATTCCCTGGTTCATTCACAAAATCTTTCATCCAAGACTCTTGAGTAGGGACTGGTCTTACAGCTGTGCAGGATGGGAACTCCTGCTTTTCTACCCTGATGGGCCCATCCTCTGGTAGACTGTCTACCAAATTCTCAGTTTGAAAACCCCACGTAGACACTCCTTCCCACACGTGGCAGGGAGCAGCATCTTCTAACTGGAAATCTTTCCCTTGAAGATTCACTGGATGGTCCTGATTCCTAGGTACTTGATGAGCCACCTGTTCCCAGATTTTCCAATATAAGAGCTCTTTGTGTGAAAGAAACCTTAATTCTTTTTCTTGAACATACTCCATATCCTTTCCATTCTTGTCTCCTATGGGGTTAAAGACAGTTCAGAGATGAGAGCAAGTAAAAGACTGGCTCAGGGATATCCAGGTCTCAGGCTTGGACCAACAATGCCTTGGAGAAAAATTCAGCTTTATACCTTAACCATCAGGGCACTTACTTTTGTATCTGATAACAGGAAAAGGGTCCTGTTAACAAACATGGAAGTGAAATGCTAAAATCAAACTAAGTCTCATAGAGTTGTCATGCAAAAGGAGAAATTCTGAAAAGATTTTGACAGGGAAAATTCATTTCTTCACTTAACAATGCTGTTGTTGCTAGTAATAAAAACATTTACACTATTGTATGTGCCAATGTGCACATATTTAAACCTCAGAATAACACTAATATAGGAGCCGTTATCATTTTCACTTTCTAGATAATGAAGTCAAGGCAGAGAGAGAAAATAAACTAGCATATGACTCTCATCACATTGTGAGGAAATGGTAGAGCTGGGATTGGAATAAAAAAGTCTGGGTTTAAGGCCCATTTGGTCCTCTCTCTGCATTGCCTCCCAGAGGTAACTCTACTCCTGGATATGTGTGAGCTGAACTTGGAGAGGGAACAAGGCACCAAATCCTCCAGAGTGCACCAGCTGTATCTGTGTTTGTTATAAACCAATTTAATAGGAATCCAGATAATATTGTTAAGACAGGAAGATGTAAATATTTGACTTATGCCCATTACTGGCTGCAAATGATAAAACTGTAATATTTATCTTATTAATAGCTCTGGCTAGAGTGCCAAGGTGTCATCGTGGCTCACAGCAACCTCAAACTCTTGGGTTCAAGAGATCTTCTTGCCTTAGCCTCCTCAGTAGCTGGGATTATAGGCTCCCACCACAATGCCTGGCTATTTTTGTACTTTTATTTTTATTTATTTATTTTCTTGAGACAGAGTCTCATCATGTCACCCTCAGTAGAGTGCTATGGCATCACAGCTCACAGCAACCTCAAACTCTTGGGCTCAAGCAATTCTCTTGCCTCAGGCTCCCCAGTAGCTGGGACCACAGGTACCTGCCACAATGCCTGGCCATTTTTTTGGTTGCATTTGTCATTATCTAGAAGGCCTGGGCCAGGCTTGAACCCCCAACCTTTGGTGTACATGGCTGGCGTCCTATTCACTGAGCTATGAGTGCCAAGGCTATTTTTCTATTTTTAATAGAGACTGGGCCTCACTTTTGCTCAGGCTGATCTTGAACTTCTGAGCTCAGGTAATCCACCTGCCTCAGCCTCCTAGGTGGGAGGATTACAGGTATGAAACAACACGCCTGGCCTGATTTTTTTTTTTTTTTTTTGAGACAGAGTCTTACTATGTTGCCCGTGGTAGAGGCTGTGGTATCACAGCTCACAGCAACCTCACTCTTGGGCTTAAGTGATTCTCTTGCCTCAGCTCCCAAGTAGCTAGGACTACAGGCGTCCATCACAACATCCGTCTACGTTTTGTTGCAGTTGTCACTGTGGATTTTAGCTGGAGTGGGCTGGGTTCGAACTCACCAGCCATGGTGTACATGGCCAATGCCCTACCCACTGAGCTACAGGCACTGCCAACCTTTTTTTTTTTTTTAAGTTCGAAACAAAGTTTATTGAGGAAGAGGAAGATAGTCTTATAGGGCAAGAGCAAGATATGTTCCTTATAGACAACAAATGAGCTCCCTTATTGTGACAAAAAGGCTTAGACATGATTTCTGATTTATTGGCTATTTTTTTCTTTTAGGGGTCAGGTAGTAAGACTCTGTTTATAACCAGGACTTGTAGAATACTGGAGTAAAGTGAAAAATTCATCCAGAGACTTTCAATATTCTGGAACAGTCTCTCTGCCACTGGCTTGTCTTATACTGGCTATTTCCATCAGAGAGAGAAAAATCCAGACAGCTCTCCTTGACTTTGGGTATGTCATTCTCTGAAAGGTAGGGAGGAATCATGGGAAGTTAGGAACTGAACAGAAATGAGGACGCAGAGCAGTTACCTACTATGGTGCCCACAGCATCCACAGGCTAGTGAGGATGGGGAATTCAGGTGTTTTGTCTGATCCAAGTTCAGCCTCTCACTGCCTGGACTAGTTCTTATCTTCAAGGACTCCAGAACCCATGGTTCTCACCTGGATATACATCTCGTTGAGTTTCTCCACCTCTCACCCAAGCCTCTTTGTTTTGTTCCAAATGGAATATCCTATCAGGTTTGAAAGGTTGTTGTCCTGAAAATGTAAGCAGATATGAGGTTGAGGCTCATTATTGAGATGCAAAAATGATGTGAAAATGCAGTCCGCATCCCATGCCCTTTAGTCTTTGGCAGAACAGACAAGGAAATGATTCCTGACCAGCCAAATGAAGCTGCTTTCTAACAGTGCAATGGACTAAATGTTTGTGACCCCCTACCTTCCTAGGTTGAAATGGTAAACCCCAATGTGATGGTGTTAGGTGGCAGGTCTTTGGGAGGTAATTCTGTCATAAGAGTGGAACCCTCAGGCATGAGATTTGTGCCCTTATAAAAGAGACCCCAGAGAGGTCTCTTGCCCTTGTCTGCCATGTGAGTACCCCAAAAGAAGTTAGCAGTCTGTACCTCGCAAGAGGGCCCTTGCTAGAACCCAACCATGCTGGCACCCTGATCTTGCACTTTAGCCTGCAGACTACAAATAAAGTTTCTATTATTTATATACCACCTCGTTTATGTTGTTTATTTGTTGCAGAACAAATAGTTCTATATAAAAAGGACTTGACCTGTGCGAAAAGACTAAAAAATATCTTCTCTCAGGGAACACAAACACTCCAGTAAGTTCCATTTCAATTACCCAGAAAGATTCCCCTCACCCACAGAGACCAGGTTCCTGAAGTTCTCCAGCATCACATCTCGGTACAGCTTCCTCTGGGCAGGGTCCAGCAGCCCCAGCTCCTCCTCAGTGAAGACCACAGCCACATCCTTGAAGGTCAGTGGCTCCTGTAAAGTAAAGCACCACAAACACAAACATCAACTAGACTCGAGAGAAATTAGGCATCACTGAGAGAAGCAGACAAGAAAGCAGAAAGATGTTCAGTTTGGCCAGTCAAATTCAGTTTATTAGTGTGTTGGAAATTTGAATTCTAACTAAAATTCTTCCACAGATATCCAAGAGTCAAGCCAGGAACACACCACATCCTTTGCATCCTTTGAAACACTCTCTTCTGAGAGTGTTTTTCCAGAAATGGAATGGCCAAATAACCAGATCTGTACATTTTTAAATTTGAGTCTAATGTAAAAATTGCCAACTTCTCCTCTCAAAGGCTGTGACAAGTTACAGTTGCAACAATGCCAAATTTTATAGTGTCCCTGTCTGTGTGCACTGCAAAATCATTTTCTTTGCCATTTTCTTTACCACTCATCTGCTTACCCGTCAGCCAGCAACTGGGAAAATTCTGTCCCCTCCATACTCCCTTTAAAAATTTTTTTTTTATTTTATTATTTATTTGTTGATTTATTGATTTTTTTTTTTTTAAGCTGGGGCCGGGTTTGAACCTACCACCTCCAGTATATGGGGCCAGCACCCTACTCCTTTGAGCCACAGGCACCACCTGTTGTTATTATTATTATTATTATTATTGAGACAGCCTCACTTTGTTGCCCTCAGTAGAGTGCCATGGCATCATAGCTCACAACCACCTCAAATTCTTAGGCTCAAGTTGCTTCAGCCTCCCAAGTAGCTGGAACTATAGGTGTCCACCACAATGCCCTGCTACTTTTAGAGAGGAAGTCTCACTCTTGTTCAGGTTGGTCTCAAACTCCTGAGCTTAAGCAATCACCTGCCTCAACCTCCCAGAATGCTGGGATTATAGGTATGAGCCACTGCACCCAGCACCCCCATACCCTTTTTATGGACCTCCATGTCAACAAATGATAGCAGGCAACTAATGTGTTTTTATGCAACCATCTCAATCAGATGAGACCTCAATAGTTCTGATTCAAAACGTAAAATTTCAAACCATGCTGTGTCATCCCTAGTTATGAATTGTGGCCTACATTTTTTAAGCTAACTGCTCCAGTCCAGTGAGGGAAAAAAAGGCAGTTATGTGTTTTGTAATATTATGATCAACTATGTTGCTGTAATATCACTGTCTCACCTAGACCCTCCCTTCTTGCCTTCTGTACCCCATAAAATCCCCTGCCATCTTAGGGTCAGGGCCACTCTATCTCCTGCTGCGTCAGGTGTGGACAGCCCAGACTCGAGTCTGCAATAAAGTGCCTCTTGCTGTTTGCATTGGACCAAGTCTCTGAGTGTTTTCTGGGGGAAATTCCAAACTCTGGGCACGACACTTTATCTTGTCCCACACCCAAGGCTAGGGGCGAGAAAGCCTAAACATCTTTGCCTGTCCCTATACCTGTGACAAGATATTACAAGTTAAGAGAGAGCTGATTTTTTCCACCTAATTTGACTCTTAAAAAAAAACAAACATGGATATATGGTTAGTAAGAAGGAAGGCAAGGTGAATACAGAAAGGTTTAATGCATAAATGGTGCCATTATCACTCACTTAAGAAACATTCAGCTCCTAGAAAACAAGGTTATATACTAGTAATTAGATAAGTGAGAAAGACATAGGCCTGCCTTAATGGGGCAGTGCTGGCAGGTCCTAACACTGTTCTTGGGTCCTGTGATTCACAAGAGAACTCACAGGACATGACAGAGAGTTACACTCATGGTGAGGGCTCAATACAGTGGGAGAAAAAGTAAAGCCCATTCAGGAGAGTCACATAGGCCTGTGTTTAATTCCTCTAAAATTAAATCTGACAAAACGCAAAATGTTGTCAATCAGTCAAGGTCATTAGACGCTCAGCGACCAGGATTTTCACTGGAGGCTGGTCATGCAGGTACCCTCTGACTAGCACATACCAAAATTCCAGACTCCCAGTATGATGTCTTCTAACTTTATTCATGATATACTCTTTGGTAGGGTATATTACATGGAATATTACAGCCATAAATGAGTAAGAGGTCCCACAGCAGAGAACAACCCATGCAGAGAAGGAGAATTCATCCTTTGGTGAGTCATCTCTGGGCATAATTTGGGCTCAGATCCCTCTAGGAAACTATTATTGACAGGCAGCACATAGGATAGAGTGGCAGATTATGGAGTGAGTGGTGCTGACATGGATTTAAACTCAGGATTCACTGCTTATTTATTCATGAATAAAACAGAATCTAACCATCTTTCTCACATAGCTATTTTGTGGATAAATCCAATGAAACATGTAATGTATTCATCCAACACATTTTTTCCCTCTTTTTTTTTTCTTTTTTGTTTCTTTATAGCAAGGGAAGGCTACATTTACTCTCTGACACCTGAGGTAGTATTCCTGGAAAGAAAGAATAACTCAACCCACCTGAAATGTGGGCTCATCCTCCATGTTTTGGGAAAGGGCCAAGGCTTGAGAATGAAGAGCTGTAAGAAAAGAAAAGAAGCCATGAGAGGGAGGTGGTGCTGTATGAGCTCTGGCTAGCTGCCTGCCTGCCTTACAGCCTGGTTTCTCACCCAAGGCAATTCCTTTTTTTTGAGACAGAGCCTAAAGCTGTCCCCCTGGGTAGAATGCTGTGGCATCCCAGCTCATAGCAACCTCCAACTCCTGGGCTCAAGTAAGTCTCCTGCCTCAGCCTCCCAAATAGCTGGGACCACAACGCCCGGCTATTTTTTTTTTGGTTGCAGC